CCCGCCCCCCAGTCCCGGGAAGGACATCGGTTTCCCTGCAGGGAGAGGGGCTGAGGCGTCAACCTGCCTGAGCCCCTCATCCCAGAGGCATCGTGGTGCAGATGTGCAGAGGAGACCCGCCTTCCTTTGTGCAAGGGCACAGTCCTGGCCTGCCTCCCACCCAGGGCCGGCTCACTCACTAGGCAAACTAGGCGATCGCCTAGAGCCGGACGGCCCTTAGGGGCGCCAAACTGCACCCGGCCCCGTACTCTGGGAGTTTCTTGATTATTTGTGGTTTTCATTCTTCCTAAAATGCATTTATTTTTTAAAATTGGTGGGCGCAGGGGGGGAGCAGAAAGGATCCTCACCTAGGGTGCAAAATAAGCTGTAACCCGCCCTACTCCCACCCCACCCACCCCGCCCCATGGCTCAGGGCGCTCCAGCAGAGGGAGCGACCCACAAATAGGACGGGGCACCGCTTCTGTTCAGGGTACTCACTGGGCCGCACAGCTGACCCGAAGGAGACAAAGTACCAAAGGAGAGATGAAAATATGGCCACGGGGAGGCCACAGCCTGTGAGGAGGGGGAGTAACTCTTTAGGCACCTCAAAGACTGGCAGGTCTGTTGGGGCAGAAGTGTTGGTAGGCTGGGGGGGGGGCGGGCTGGATGAGTTCAGTCCCTGAGGACCAAGTGGGGGCAAAAGCCAGCCCCACTGCAAACTCTCGGTTCCACCCCACCCTGCTTGCCCCGCTTGCACATTTTCCTTTCTGTCATCCCCGTAAAGAAATCTTTAAAAACCAGACGTTGGACACTCAGAAGGCAGGCTTGGTATGTCTCTGCAGGGGCCGTGATGCTCCTGTAGCTGTGGGGCTGGGCTGTGGGGGCTGCTTCCCCATCAAGATGAGTTTTCATGTTGCTTTCCATGCATCCAGGGGAGCACCCAACATGGACCTTGCCTCCGCCCTCCATGGTGGCGGTCCCCTCCCTGCTGCTGGCAGGCTTTTCTTAAGGACCCATAATAGCGCTACAACATTATTTCAACAATGTTCTAGTTCCCAGCTTTCATTTAAAAAAAAAAAGGAATCGCTAGTCCTTTTGGTTGAGGAGTTATAAGGAGAAATGAGCAGCCAGTACCTTTTCCTTAGAACGCTGCAATGCAAAGGGTTAGAGACGTACTAGGTTCCAGCTTTCATTTTTGTAAACATAGGATGTTGTTGCCCTGGATTGTGTGCCATAGTACAGAGCGCAGGCGGTTTGCATGCTGTGAGGATTTGATGTTAAGGATTCCCTCCTAAGTTTTGATTCCTTCCAGTGTGTCACCCTGAGGAAGACTGAGCCCGCTTTGGGGATGACCTGCATTTATTTTACTCACTGGGGCCTTTCTGCATGTACTTGCCGAGAGCAGAGAAATAAATATCACACTGCAATACCTCTCCTTCCAGATGCAAATGCCTGATATGCTTCATTTTTGTGGCTGAAGCAGATCTCGGCCTGGATTTAGGGAGGAGGACTGGCCGTACAAGAAAGATGCTGACTGTTGGCTCCACCTCTTCCTGTCTGTGGTGGAAACAGCGGTTGGATATCTGTGTTGCCGTCACTCTTTCTCTCTCTCTCTCTCTCTCCTGCATAGATTACTTTTTACCTTCTTGTTCACATATGAAATGGATTCAGGCCCTACAGGATTGTCCTGGAACTCACCGTTTATATTGCTGGCTGTTCTTGTTTGTTAACTGTTGAAATACTTATGCTGGCCAAAGTTTAACCTAAAATATGCTTTTTGGGGTGGGAGGATATTTTTGATTTGTGTCATGTCTGTTCTTGCTTTTGCCAAAGTTCTGTGCCAGTGAACAGTAAGGTGGGGGAGATTGCCTCTCTTGAGGTTCATCGCTCGCGAAATGCCGTGGCGGCTGGCACCCACTGGGCCTGGCGGGCCGGAAGGCAGGCCGGCAAATGGCAGGTGGAGCCAACTAGTTGGTTCTGCTGAACGTGCCTCCCGATGCTTGTCCCAGTGTGTATGCCATAGAGCATTGAAGCGTCCTGGATATTGAGTTCTGGCTTCCTGTACAAGAATGAAAGGTCTTTCCTCAGTTTGTCTTTCTTAGAGATGTAAAATTTCCGGAAATTTTGAAGCTCGGAAAAAACCCCGTTTTTTCCCCGTTTTTTTTCAGGAAAAAACGGAAATTTTTGGAAAAATTGCAAAAAATGCTACATTAGCATTTCTTTTGTCTTTTCTAGATTGAAAGTCATTCTGTTACTTTAGGAACATAAAATATGACTATGGACATTTTTACTTGGCATGAAATTATCACAACTAGCGTATTAAAAATATAGTGTATCCAAACAATTATTACAAACAGAATACCCACCCACATGCAAAAACAAAACTGAAACCTTTTTCTTTTCTTGTGACAATCGCACCTCCGAAAGGAAGAAATGCATCTTGTTCTTGCATTGGAGAGTTCAGTTTGTAACCTAGGACTTGCTTGTCCTCAGTGCACAGAAATTAGATCAATCTGATACCATATATATATATTTTAGAAATGATTTTTTCTTTTTTCAGTTTTTCCAATTTTTCGGGAAAAAACAAGGCTTCAGGAAAAAAATGGGGAAAAAAACGTTCCCCCCCCCCCGAATGTTTCCGTTTTTTTTCCGGGCCTTCACATCTCTAGTCTTTCTGCAGCTTTGGACAGGCCTCCGTTGTTTCGTGCAGTGCTTGTTCTGGGAACCTCAACTTACGTGCTTCAGACGAGTTCCAGTGTACCAGTGCTGCACTTATTAGATGTTTGGTGAACTCAAACCACACTTTGGCATGGAGAATTATGATATCATAACCTTCTGCTACTAGTTGATCCAGGATTCCTTGCTTTTGCTTCTGGGCAGCCGTGACTGCTCAGATCACTTAGAACAAGCCTTTTGCGAAGTCTCTGGCCGAGAGTCAGCCACGGTAATGGCTCTTCCCTGGAACTCGCTGCGGAGAATATCCACATTAGGCAGGCTTTTCTGGAACAGGGACAAAAAATAGAGGAACTTCCCATCATCATCTTTGAGTAGCTGAATAAATTCCTGGCCTTCCACGCAGCGCTAAGATCAAAACCCCAGAACCCTGTTTCCTTAAAGCATTCAGTGCATGCCTGTCTTTCCTCAAACACCACACTTGTTGTTTACCTGGATTTCAGTAAAGCTTTTCTGACAGGGTTCCCCATGACGTTCTGTTGGGTAAACCAGAGGACTGTGGACTGGACTGTAGGATAGTTAGGTGGGTGGGGAACTGGTTGGAGAAGCGCACTCAAGAAGAGTGGTGGCCACTGGCATTGCCTCTGAATGGAGGGAGGTGTCCAGTGGGGTGCCACAGGGCTCGGTTCTGGGCCCGGTACTTTTCGATATTTTTATAACTAGATGAGGGTTTGGAGGGGCTACTCATTAAAATTGTAGATAACACTAAATTGGGAGGATCAGCGAACACACCAGAAGATAGGGATAGAATTCAACGAGATCTGAACATGCTGGAAAAGTGGGTGGATGTGAACAAGATGCAAGGATAAGTGCCGGGTTCTACATCTGGGTAACGAAAATGAGGAACACACATAATGGATGGGGGATACCCTTCTAGGTAGCAGTGTGTGTGAACAAGATTTTGGGGTATGGGTGGACCATAAGTTAAATACGAGCAGCCAGTGTGATGCAGTGACGAAAAAGGCAAATGCAATCTTGGGGGTTATCAACAGAGGCATAACATTCAAATTGCAAGATGTCATCGTCCCGCTGTACACCGCATCGGTCAGGCCGCAACTGGAGTGTTGTGTGCAGTTCTGGAGGCCTCACTTCAAAAAGGATGTGGACAGAATGGAGCGGGTGGAGAGGAGAGTGATGAGGATGATCGGGGGCCTGGAGACCAAGCCCTGTGAGGAAAGGCTGAGGGACTTCTTGGGAAGGTTCGGTCTGGAGAAGAGGAGGTCGGCGGGGGGGGGGGCAGGATTGCTCTCTTGAAGTATCTGAAGGGCTTTCCCTTAGAGGAGGGCAGGGAGCTGTTCCTCTTGGCAGCAGAGGAGAGGACTTGCAAGAATGAGTTTAATTTAAGGGCGGGAAGGTACCGGCTGGATCTCAGGGAAAACTTTTTGACAGTCAGAGTTGTGCCACAGTGGGAGAGGTCCATCAATAGCTACTAGTAGCCATGGTGTCTGAGGGGAGCCTCCGCATGCAGAGGTTGTACTCCCCCGAAGAATGCGGGTGCTAGCCAGGAGGCAACCGGGGTGGTGGGTGGTGGGGGAGGTTTGCCTTTTGTGTCCTGCTTGTTGGCAATAGTGGTTAGAGCGTCAGAGTATGACCTCGGCAGGTACAGCCTGCCTGCTTTATTGCTGACTAGAAATAAGGCCCGTTGTGGAAATAAATACAACGGGATCTAGAAAGAGGCTCTGGGAGAGTGCTCTGGCTTTGGGCAAACAGTGTCAGTCTGCTTTTAAAACATGAACCTGGGACCTGCACACCACCAGAATACAGCAAGTTCCATATGCAACTGACATTCCAACTGCCTTGCGGGGGGGGGGGAGTTTGAGGTGTGGAATGGAGTGAAGTCCAATCAGCTTCCATATGCAAAAGACCAGGTTGTCGCAGCAGTTGTGGTGTGGGCGGGACCCGGGCTTTGCCTTCTGATTGGTGGCGATATATGCTGAGGAGCAGTGCCATCAGCCATACACTAAGGGAGTGCATTTTAGAATTAGAACTTTGGCACCCACTACTCAATTATATATAAGGAGAGATTATCCGCAGCAGTCCGTGTGTCTGACGTCAGGTGTCCATTCCAAACTTAAGCCCCAGCACCTGCCCTTGGAATCAGATCTTGGTAAAAGGGCGCTGATTCTTGTCTGGCCCCGGCTCCGATTTCAACCTGCTCTCCCTCTCACCCGTTGACAGGGCATTGTTCAGACGAACTGGTTGGCCCCCTCTACGCTTGGAACCTTGGTGCCTCCTCTCGATCCAGCATCTTCCGCGCTGCCACTTTTGCCCGGCTGTACGGTGAGTTCGGTGTGTGCGGAGCCCAGGGAGGAGCGGACGTCCCAGCTCTCCCGCTTCTTTGACTGAACGGCATCAGCCTTACAGAATAAAACAGGAGCTGATCTAAGCTTGACAGGAGTCTTCCAAAAGGGACTCAGTGCCCAAAGGAGGGCATGATGGTGGCATTCCGCCCTCTATATTTAATGGTGATGGTGTCTGCAACGGGAGAGAGAGGTGGTCTCTAACCACTGGGCTAAGCTAAGCAGCACTGGATGGCTGAACTTCTGCCCTGAGCTCTTATCACGGAATGGTTGGCTACAGATGGGGGTAGTAGTTTTTATATGATCCTTCTAAAATGCCTCGGTGTGAGCCATCGTCTCCTACGGGGGGGGATTAGGTAAAGGTAAAGGTTCCCTTGCTCGAAAACCAGTTGAATCCGACTCTAGGGTTGCGGTGCTCATCTCAGTTTCCAAGCTGAAGAGCCAGCGCTGTCCGAAGACGTTTCCCTGGTCATGTGGCCGGCATGACTAAACACCAAGGCGCGCGGAACGCTGTTACCTTCCCACCGAAGTGGTACCTATTTACCAGAGAGCCAGTTTGGTGTAGTGGTTAAGTGTGCGGACTCTAATCTGGGAGAACCGGGTTTGATTCCTCACTCCTCCACTTGCACCTGCTGATGTGACCTTGGGTCAGTCACAAGCTCTGGCACAACTGTTCCTGAAACTGTTCTTTCAGCCCCACCCACCTCACAGGGTGTCTGTTGTGGGGAGGGGAAGGGAAAGGAGTTTGTAAACTGCTCTGAGACTCCAAGTGAAGGGCGGGGTATAAATCCAATCTCCTCCTCTTCTTCTTCTACTTGCAATGTCTTGCTTTTGAACTGCTAGGTTGGCAAGAGCTGGAGCTAGAGACGGGAGCTCACTCTGTCATGCGGCACACTCGGGTCTCGAACTGCTGAACTACCGACCTTCCACAGCCTGCAGTTCAGCATCTTAACCACTTGAGCCATCGCAGCTCCTTATGGGGGGGATTATCATAGACTAATTTCTCTCGTTCAGTGAAGCCCTTGCTCTTTTGATTTGACCCAATATGGTGCAGAGTGGTCTTCATCCAGATCCTGTCAAGGGGCAGCAATTCAAAGTTTGTTTTAAACTTTGCATGGGGGGGGGGGAGGCAGTGAGGGATGTTGTTTAGTGTCTGTGGGGCGGAGCAGGTGCCCGGAGGACATGCCAGCCCCTGTGGCTGAGGCCTGGGGAGGGGGTGTCGACGGGCCTGTTCCTGCAGTCGGAGAGACGTGTGCCATGCCTCTGCCCTCCCTGCTCTCCCTCCTGTGCAGGGGTTGGCGGCTGGTCACCTGACCCCAACGACAAGCATCCTTGGCTCCAGATTGACCTGACCAGGAAGTGCCGCATCAATGCCATCGCCACGCAGGGGACCTTCAACTCCTACAACTGGGTGACACGCTACATCGTCCTCTACGGTGACCATCCCAATAACTGGAAGCCTTATTTCCAGCAGGGGAGCAACTGGGTGAGAGAGTCGAGGCCTCCTCTGCCCTCTGGCAGAGCGGGTGGCGGTGCATGGGGTCTGAGGGTATTTCCCCCTCTGTGTGCATGTCGGCATCCTTCAGACTTCCGGGATGTGCATGCGCGGAAGCTGATGTGATGCGTTCCGTGCGTCTGCCGTCGTACCTCTCAAGGACTGGCTTCTCGTTTGGTCCATTGTGATCTTAATCTTAAACTAATTCCTACAAAGATTACTCCGTTTGGCAGTCATGTGTGAGACAACGTGGAAACGCATCCACAATAATATGGTTAAAAAATATACAAAAATATGCAGGCTTTAAATATGATTTTTATCTAAAATGGTTGATTGCCGTATCCATTTAATGAATCCACATTTTCATTCATTCTTGTAAGGTTGACAGCTTTAAATAAAGCTAATCATATATAAAACCATTCAAGAACTAAAGTTCAAAAAACAAAGAATTCAGTAAAAAAGGTGACTTAAGAGGAGATGGATAGCCTCTAGCAAAGCAAAGATTTTAAGGAAAACAATAAAAATGTGCAGCAAAGCATTTTAATTAAGGGGGGGGGAACGACACCACTTATGTCCTCTGTCCATTAATTTATTAATTTCATCTGTGGTTGTGCATTTCTTAGAAAGCACTGTAGACTGTTAAGTGTGCCTTGTGACCCTTCCAGACTAACTTTGTACCATATTTAGCAAGGAGGCTCATCCAAGACTCAAATGGTAATGTGCAGTGTTTCCTGTTGGAGATATATAGTCACTACCAAAGCCAGTTCTTGCCACAGAGTGTTTCTTCATACAGAAACATGTTTTAAGATTTTCATTTTCCATATTCTCTTTACGCAAGGATGCCAGTATTTTGTACCCAGTTTCAGTCAGCAACTGCTGATGTGTTGTGGTAATTCAAATAAGTGTCTATTTGCAGAGGTATGAGAGCGCCATTGATTTCTTTTTCTGAAAGAGAAAACTGGTTGTCTTTCCATATGTATCCCATCCTTCCTACGAAGGACAGAGCATAGGAAGGTTCTGGGTCTTGGTGCTTGCAGGATTCCTTGGCCTAAAGTAAAGGTAAAGGTAAAGGTTCCCTTGCTCAAAAGCCAGTTGAGTCCGACTCTAGGGTTGCAGTGCTCATCTCCGTTTCAAAGCCGAAGAGCCAGCACTGTCCGAAGACATTTCCGTGGTCATGTGCCCGGCATGACTAAACACCAAGGCGCACGGAACGCTGTTCCCTTCCCACCGAAGTGGTACCTATTTATCTATTTGCAGTGTCTTGCTTTCGAACTGCTAGGTTGGCAGGAGCTGGAACTAGAGACGGGAGCTCACTCCGTCATGCAGCAACTCGGGTCTCGAACTGCTGAACTACCGACCTTCCATAGCCTGCAGTTCAGCATCTTAACCCCTTGAGCCACCGCAGCTCCTAGGATGCTGTCTAAGAACTACTTAATGACCATGGTTTGGGTTGTGGTTTCTGAAGCCGAGTGATAAAAATCCCCCTTGATTTTGTGAGGTGAATCTCTCAGGATCTAGTTCATTGGACTGCTTGTGTTCGTTCTCATCTAATTGGACGTCTGCAGTTGTCCAGCCAGAGCCTGGGCCTTTCCACACGAACACAGAGTTCAAGGTTTTTCTCTGTTGCCACTGGATTTTCAGCTGAAGCACTCCCAACAAGCCTGCTCACTCCTTCGTGGGGCGGGGTGGCAATTCTCATCCGAGGTTCTTTCTTCTTCGAGTGGCTTCCTGCACCAAACATCACCGGCACTGAATGTGTAGGCCTGGCGTGGGATGCTGGGGAGAGGGTGGGGGTCTTGTTGGTTCACTGTCTGCCCAGCATACCAGCTGGCTCCCTGCTGAGGTTGGCTGAGGCGGGGGTGGGGTGGGTCTTGTGTTTCCCCAGACTGATAGTTTTGGGGGACTTCAGTGTCCACTCTTTGGACTTTAGGACTGCCATGGCATCGTTAGGACTTTCCCCGGTTGTACCGACCCCCACGCACAGAGCAGGCCACACACTGGGTCTGATCTTTTGCGCAGGAATTGATCTGGAGTCAGTGGTGCTTTGCGATGCGCACCGGTGCCTCTTGGGTGGCTCCAAAAGTAGATTAAAAACTGGCTATTTGCTGTGACACATTTGCAGTGTCCTTTTTGGATAAAGTCTCACTCCTCCACCAAGACATGGCTGCTGGATTTGGAGTCAGTAGGAATCTCAGGGCCCTGTCTGTGCAATGGAGTCCATTTTCTGACTCCTTCAATCCGCTTTCCCAGGCAGAAGTTGACAGGGTCCTATCGGCTGTTGGGCCTACTACTTGCTCCAGAGACATGGTAGGAGGAGCTTTGGGAGACATTATAAACCTTTCACTCTCACAGGGTTCTTTTCCCAGCTCCCTCAAGGAGGCAGTGGTGGTGACCCCCCACGTGAAAAAGTCATTGTTAGATGAGAGGGACCTAGCCGGTTATCACCCAGTATCTAGTCTTCCATTTCTGGGAAAGGTGATTGAACGAGCAGTGGCTGAACAGCTCCAGGAATTCCTGGATGAGTCATCAGCACTTGTTGTTGTTGTTGTTCAGTCGCACAGTCGAGTCCGACTCTTCGTGACCCCATGGGCCAGATCACGCCAGGCCTTCCTGTCTTCCGCCGTCCTCTGAAGTTGGCTCAACTTCATGTTCGTTGCATCTATGACACTGTCTAGCCATCTCATCCTTTGCCGTCCCCGTCTTCTTTGACCTTCAGTCTTTCCCAGCATCAGGGTCTTCTCCAGTGAGGGCTCCCTTCTCATTGGGTGGCCAAAGTCTTTGAGCTTCAGTTTCATTATCTGGCCGTCCAGGGAACAGTCAGGGTTGATTTCTTTGAGGATTGACTGATTGGCTCTCCTTGCAGTCCAAGGGACTCTCAAGAGTCTTCTCCAGCACCATCGTTCAAAAGAATCTATTCTTCGGCGCTCGGCCTTCCTTATAGTCCACCTCTCGCAGCCATACATGACTACTGGGAATACAGACTTTTGTTGGCAGGGTGATGTCTCTACTTTTTATCATGCTGTTGAGGTTCGCCATCGCTTTCCTCCCAAGGACCAGGCGTCTTTTAATTTCATGGCTGCCGTCACAGTCTGCGGTGATCTGGGATCCCAGGAACATGAAGTCTGTCACTACTTCCACGACTTCCCCTTCTATTTGCCAAGGAGTGATGAGGCCGGATGCCATGATCTTAGTTTTTTTGATGTTGAGCTTCAAGCCCACTTGAAAGTCATCAGCACTTTCAATCCAGCTTCCAGCCAGGATTTGGGACCAAGACAGCTCTGGTTGCTCTGGTTGACGTTCTCTGGTTACACCTTGATGCAGGTGGAACAGTGCTGCTGATCTTGTTCAATCTGTCAGCTATTTTTGACACAATAGACCATTTGGCCCTGATTAACCATGTAGCCTTCCTAGGTAAGGCCCTGAGCTGGCTCTCCTTATTCTCCAGATTCGGTCTTGGAGAGTGTGGGCGGAGAAGCAGTGTTCCCTCTAAGCTAAGTTAGTGTGAGCTAGCTCACAGCTTTTTAGCCTCCGGCTCACACATTTTTCTCTTAGCTCAGGAAGGATGGCTCCAGAGCAAACTCATTTATGCAGTAGCCCAATCGCTCACTCACAACTTTAATGCCAGTAGCTCACAAAGTAGAATTTTTGCTCACAGGACTCCAAAGCTTAGAGGGAGCATTGGTGGAGAGAGGTGGTCACCGTGGGCCCTAATGTGGAATTCCACTGGGGTCAATTCCCTCCCCAATGTTATTTAACATTTATATGCATCCTGTGGTGGAGATTGTCAGGAAGTTTGGCATGGGAAGCCATCAATATGCAGATGACACCCAACTCAACCTCTTATTTGAGGCACTGGAATTCTGGTCTTGGCCTCCTGCTTGGACGCATTGGTGGAAAGGCTAGGTGGGAGATGGTTGATTTATGTGATCTGAAGAGAAACCACGGTCGTGATCACATGCAGAATTAGCCGTGCCATAGGCACGAATGCCGGGCAGATTTTAAGGGCGCGATCAGACGCAAACATCCGCCAAGTGTCCCGCACCCGTCGGCAACCCGTTTTGCTCTGCCGCAAAAGTGGAGTAAAAAGATACTGGAACTCCATTAAAAATAGGTTTATTTTCAATTTGTTCATTTTTAGCTGGTTAACCACAGCAGCCAGGCAGTTATTTATGATCTCTCCCTCATCACCAGGAGATTTGGACAAGGATAAGGATCTATATATTGTCAATGTATCGATGCTAACCAAACCCCAAACTGAATGATTTGCCGAAGGGCTTTTCATAGAGATTGAAGGGCATGGGGGATAAATCTGAGCCCTGTTAAAACTCCACAGTGTAGATCCCACACTGATGACAACTGGTTTCCAATAGCAACCCTTTGAGTCCAACCCACAAGGAGTGATTTGAACCAGTTCAAGCCACACCCCCTGATACCCACTTCTGCCTCCAGGCACCTCAACAAGATGAAATAATCGTCTGTATAAAAGGCTGCAGATAAATCCAGTAAGAGCAACAGAGAGGCACGGCCTTTGTCTGTGCATAGAAGAAGTCATCAGCTAAAGCTAGCAGAGCTGTCTCTGTCCCGTAGCTCAGCCTGAAGCCAGACTGAAAAGGGTCTAGAGCAGATGAGTTACCCAAGAAGACCTGGAGTTGGTCTGCTACTGCTGTCAATCACTTTGCCCAGAAAAAAGAGTGGAGACAGGTTGCTGTAGTTCTTACCACTGGAGCTCTGTTGTGGAAATTTCAGGAAGTTCACCTAATTTAGAGTTTACACTTTCTGAGATTCTTTTGTAGGCATCATTTTTGCCTGCTTGATTTCACAAAGAGAAATGCTCACATCCCCCCCCGCACGCGGGGGGGGGGGGGGGAGAACCTCTCACCTGGGAAGCTTCCAGACTGTCCTTGCTGTATTTTCATCCTTCTACTCCTTAAACAGTGTTGCATGATGATTTTAAAAATCTTCTATTGTGTACTGGTAAGAGCTTTTCCGGCATCCCTTGCTCAGGGACTGTGGATATCAAGTTCCTGCATGAGAAATACCACCAGCATGAAAGAGGCCTGTTGTTTTTGTTTGTTTGTTTTTAACTTTTTTATTTGTTTTGTTAGTTTTTTGTTTGGTAACTATCTCCTGGGTCCCACCAAAGACTAAGATGTCATAAGCCTTGCCAGGGCTATTTTTGGGCAGGAACGCACAGGAACGGAGTTCCGGCTGGCTTCCAAGTAGGCCACACCCAGCAGGAACTCATTAGCATAATAGGCCACACCCAACAGCAGAAACTCATTAGGATTGGCTACCTTAGGGGTGTGCGGCCTAACATGCAAAGGAGTTCCTGCTACAAAAAAAGCCCTGGGTTTTGACAACAAACAAGGTAACCAGAATAACAAGCAAAAGGTGGGTGTGGCTGGATGAGCACACTTCTGGTAACATGGGGGTGTGGCCTAATATGCCAATGAGCTGTGCTGTCAGGGGTGTGGCCTAATATGCTGTTTCTGCTGTTGGGTGTGGCCTATTATGCTAATGAGTTCCTGCCGGGCTTTTCCCACAAAAAAAGCCCTGATCCTTGCAAACGTTTTTGAGAGACTTCTGAGGGGAACATCCTCTTCAAGGGTAAATCAGGGAAATCAAGGTCACTCTCACATCTGTATCCTGCCCTGTCTGTGGTCAGTACTGATGTTTTGCTTTTGTCCTTTTCCCCCGTATAGACGTTCTTTGGCAATGTGAACGAGAGTGGCGTGGTCCGCCATAACCTGCATCACCCCATCTTGGCTCGCTATGTCCGCATCATCCCCGTGGCTTGGAATCCTCATGGTGCCATCGGCCTGCGGGTGGGCTTTTACGGCTGCTACTACCGTAAGTGACTCCGCTGCTTCACACGTTGGGTAATGCGGCCTCTTTTGAAAAACTGCCACAGCACGGAAGTGTGAACAGTTGGGGCGCTGGGTGTGCACAGGGCATAAAGCACTGGTTGGTTGTTGTTTTTCTTCTCTGCAGAAAAAGGAAATGTGGGAAGATTAAAAACATCTATACCTTATTTTTAATGATCCATACCGAATCTGATTATTTCCTTTGAAATTCTACACTAAATTTCCTCTGAAATACTACACTAAAAAGATCCCATCTGCTGTCATCATTCAGGTGGAAAAGAAATGTAGGGGAGCCGTTTGAGGAATTAATATTTTTTTGTCCTGCTTGATTGGTACCAATATCTATTCTGTGGTCTGAGGTTGGAGTCCAGCGGGACCTTTAAGACTGACACGGTTCAGTTCTGGGCTCGCACTTTGTTCTGTGGCTTCAGACCTGCATGGCTGCCCAACTGAATCTTACTCTGTGGCTTGTTCTCCCTGCAGAATCTGATGTCTTGTACTTTGATGGCGATGATGCGATTGCCTACCGGTTCCGCACCAAAACTGTCCGCACCACCCAAGACATCCTGGGGTTCAACTTCAAAACGATGGAGCGTGACGGGCTCTTGATGTACGCGGAGGGGGCCCAGGGGGACTACATCAGTGTGGAGCTGCGGCAGGCCCGGCTGGTGCTCAACATGAGCCTTGGTGAGGAGGACGTGTGTGTGCTTGGGTGGGGGGGTGACTCACTGCTGACCCAGTGACCAGGTTGGGGTATGGGCTGGGGTTGGGGGGATACAGCATAATTGCCAATGCAGGAAATTGAAAGAAGCCTTGATCTGAGGGAACCCCAAGTGTTAGAAATTCAGCCATTAGCTGTGAGGCGTTTGTGAGTTTTGCAGATAAAGTTTTGTCGCTCCGTCAGGACCTGCCTGCCAACATTGATACAGTATGTGAACTGGAGTCCCCTTGGCTGTCTTTGGGTCCAGTGCTGGACGAATTCAGCCGACTGTCCTGGGCTGACAGTGACAGGATCCTGGGTCCTGTGAAGCCCACCACTGCCACGTAGAACCGTATCCATCATGGCTGATGAAAGCCACTGGAGATGGCATACGGCCCCCCCTGGTTGACATTATAAATCTGTCCCTGAGTTCGGGGGTCTTTCCAGGGAGGCTAAAGGAGGCGGTTGTGAGACCACTCTTAAAAGAAGCCATCCTTAGATCCTACTGACCTGTCCAACTACCGCCCAGTATCAAACCTGTTGTTCCTGGGCAAAGTAGTAGAGAAAGTAGCAACAGAACAGCTCCCGGCTTTGCTGGAAGACACTTTGGCTCTGGATCCATTCCAGTCTGGCTTCTACCCTGGCCGTGGGATGGTCACCCTCACAGATGACCTCCGTAGACAGCCGGATCAGGACAGGTCAGTGCTGCTGTTATTACTAGATTTGACAGCAGCGTTTGACCTGGTGACCGTGACCTGTTGACCCACCGCCTCACCAATGCGGGTATCCGTGGGACAGTCTTGAAATGGGTTGTCTCCAGTGTTCCCTCTAAGCTGAGTTAGTGTGAGCTAGCTCACAATTTTTTGGCCTCTGGCTCACACATTTTTGTCTTAGCTCAGGAAGGGACGGCACCAGAGCAAACTAATTTATGCAGTAGCCAAATCATGAGCTCACAACTTTAATCCCAGTAGCTCACAAAGTAGAATTTTTGCTCACAAGACTCCAGAGCTTAGAGGGAACACTGGTTGTCTCATGTCTCCAAGGTCAGGGACAGAGGGTGGTGTTAGGGGAGAATGTCTCACCACAATACCCTCGGGTGTATGGTATTCCGCAAGGGGAATTCCTCTCCCTAGTGTTATTTAACATCTATATGCGCCCCCTCTCCCAGCTGGTATGGAATTTTGGGCTGGGTTGTCACCAGGATGCTGATGACACCCAGCTGTATCTGTTGATGGACGACCATCTGACCACTGCCCCAGATACCTTGGCCAAGGGCCTGGAGGCTGTGGTTGGGTGGTTGAAGCAGAGCTGGCTGAAACTAAATCCATCGAAGGCTGTGGTTGGGTGGCTGGGCTGGGGAATTTTGGGGTTAAGGTGCCAACTCCCAGCTCTTGACAGTGTGTCACTAACACCAGTGCCGGGCATCAGAAGCGCCAGGTCAGGCAACTGGTTCACTTCCTGTCTCTCCCCGGACTTAGCCACAGTAATCCACACAATGGTCACCTCCAGACTAGACTGCTCTAACTTGCTCTACACAGGGCTACCCTTGAGACTGACCCAGAAATTACAGCTGGTCCAGAAAGAGCGGCGTGGGTTTATACGGGAACTTGGTTTGAGCCCATATTGAACCGGTGCTTCACCAGCTCCACTGGCTCCACATTGAGTTCCGGATCAGGTTCAAGGTTTTGGTGCTAACCTTTTAAAGCCCTAAACGGTCTAGGACCAGCATACGTTTGGAACCGCCTCTCCTGGTATACCCCCCAAAGACAGTAACTTTCTGGTGATCCCTGACCCCAAAAGTATCCGTCTGTCCTCAACCAGAGCTAGGGCCTTCTCAGCCTGGCTGGAACACTCTGCCAAGCGAGAGGCAGGCCCTGCGGGATCTGATGCAGTTCTGCAGGGCCCGAGGCAGCAACGGTCCCCATCTTAGATTGGCTCCTTTGTCTGTTCTTCCTCCAGCCAATCAGAAATAAGATTTTACTTTCCCCACTAGGTAGTGGGTGCCAGGTTGCCTTTTTAGGTGCCATCTTTAAGTGTCAATATTATGGTAAAAACTTTTTAAATTAATTAACTTTTATATTTGTTGTGTTACAGATACTGTTGTAACCCGCCCTGGCCCTGTTACACAGGGGAGGGAGGGCTATAAATAAATAAAATTTGCCACAAAAGAGTAGAAACAAGAAAACTCTGTATTGCCATGTGCATGGATGCAGTTTATCTTGTGCTCCTCACATCCCTGCGTGGTGAGAAGTGCCTGCTTCATGCCACAGGGCTTAGCTCCCTTTGGATGAGGGAGAGCACTGAAATGTCTTTATAAAAACATAATCCATGCATATTGGAATCAGATTTTAAAGCAGGCGGTTCATCTGTTAACTCAGACTCTGATTCCCAGGAGCAGTGTTCAGTCAAGGACTACTCTTTCTGGGTTGTCATTCAAACTGCTTCTAGACAGTGACACGAAACCAGTCGGTGTTGCGAACCTTTGCTATAAGGAGAGCTGCTTCTAAGTAAAGATAGAATATCCTGAGTTTTGTTCTCTCCAAGAAGGCAGTACATGGACTAGGAAACATACCAGAGATGAAGGTATCCGCTAAGCAGCCCCGAGAAAACCCTATGAAACAAAAGCATTATTTCTGTGGAAGCGCAGCTTAACTTGGTACACCACTTTGCTAAGAGAAAGATGAAAGTAAATTACCCACACCATGGTCAAACCAGTGCTGAAGCTCAAACAGAGACCATGGCAGAGAAGCACTGTCCCAGACCAGTGTTCCCTCTAAGCTGAGCTAGCTCACAGGTTTTTAGCCTCCAGCTCATGGATTATTGTCTTAGCTCAGGATGAATGGCCCCAGAGCAAACTAATTTATGCAGTAGCCAAATCATTTGCTCACAACTTTAATGCCAGCAGCTCAGAAAGTAGAATTTTTGCTCACAAGACTCCACAGCTTAGAGGGAACATTGGTCCCAGTGCGGTGTTCTTGTGTAAGACATAAGTGAATTGACCTCCTTCCTCAAGAACTGCCCCCTGGTCCCGTTCCCTTCCACCCTCGCCTTAGCCTCTCTCAGCACAGAAACAAGGGAGAGCCAAGAGCAGCCCCCTGGCTCCAGTCCCCCTCACGCCGGGAGAGACATCCGGCCAGTCGATGGGGCTGTCACCGGCTTCTGAGCCTCTCCTCAACACTTCCTGGGTCTTCTAGGGGCAGCCCGAGGCACCTGTCGACAGCCAGCGAGCTCCCCATTGCACTTGTTAAAGGTAAAGGTTCCCTTGCTCGAAAGCCAGTCGAGTCCGACTCTAGGGTTTCATCTCCGTTTCAAAGCCGAAGAGCCAGCGCTGTCCGAAGACGTTTCCGTGGTCATGTGGCCGGCATGACTAAACACCAAGGCGCACGGAATGCTAACTGTCCGTGTTTATTGTCAAGGGGTGTCAAGGGGTGCTGAGTGGCCCGCGCCACCTGTGACGGGTTCCCTTAGCTACCCTTTCAGAAGGATACTGCCTGGATCGCGTCATCCTGGCTTCCTCCACGTGGATAGGCAGTCCAGCTGGAGAAGGGTGTTTTGGAGCATCCACACCATGTCGTGCCCTAACCGGCCACTGTGGGTGTTTTCCTCTGCTTCGTTGAGTTCTTTGCCAAGCCTGGTTTAGTCCGTATTGAAATAGGATACAAGATGAAAAGCAGTGGCACAGCAGTATGTGTAAACAAGGAAAAAATGCACGTGCCCAAATTCAACCACCAAAAAACCAATAATTTTGTAGATTTTATAGATATAACGCATACACTTACTCATAACAAATTTTCCTATGACACAATTAAACAGACGGGTAGAAATTCACAGGTAAAGTTTTTTCGTAAACATCTTTGTAATCATTATTTCAAAAGAGCCCTTGAACTGTAAGGATGTGATAGTGTCTCTGTCATCTGACTCCGGTTATAAATCCCATTTCAATAATTTTTTAAAGAATTTTTAAAAGAGCCAGTTTGGTGTAGTGGTTAGGAGCATGGACTCTAATCGGGAGAACCGGGTTTGATTCCCCGCTCCTTCTCCACATGCGGCTGCTGGTGTGACCTTGGGTCCGTCATAAGTTCTCTCAGAGCTGTTCCCTCGAGGGCAGTTTTCAAGAGAGCTCTCTCAGCCCCACCGACCTCAGAGGGTGTCTGTTGTGGGGAGGGGAAGGGAAAGGGATTGTAAGCCGCTATGAGACTCCTTTGGGTAGTGAAGGGCCATGGGGAATACATCCAACTCTTCTTCTTCTTCTATTTAATGTGTCATAGGAAAATTTATGAGTAAGTGTATATGTTATACCTATAAAATTATTGGTTTTCTGGAGGTTGAATTTGAGCACATGCATTTTTTTCTGGTCCAATCCATGACATTTCCAGTGAAGGATCTGGTAGTAGGTGATGTGAAAGATCTCAGCACAGATGTGAAAGATGAGAATCAGGGAAGCCACTGTCAGTGTGAGTAGACAGTACTGACTTTGATGGACCAAGAGTCTGTTCAGTATAAGGCAGCTTCAAGCGCATGCATGCGTATGTGTGTCTGTGTGTGAACACATTTTTACATCTTTCTGTCTGTCTCTCCTGCATCACATCTAGTTTATCAGAAGCATTCTTTGTGATATCTCTTTTTCTCTCACAGCACAGCTGGCTATGCCTCTGGAACTGGTTTCTGTTAGGCTTCCTTTTCCTTGTTTGCAATATCTACAGCTGCATTTGGGGCACTTGCTTTGTGTCCCAGACCTGTAGACCTCCCCACTTGGCTCCTGGTGCAGACCTTCTTGGCTGCGGAGGGTTCCCTCGGCCTAGCGAATGACCAAAGACAAGGCCAGGCAATCGTGTGTTGAGGGAACTCTCAGAGGCACCTCTCCGCAACGGCCGGCCTTCTGCTTCCCTCTTCACACTGTTGCCTGTGCCCCACTGACCCCTGTCTCCCCCCCCTAGGCAACAGCCTACTCAACACCAGTGGAGGGGAGACGACGATGACGCTGGGAAGCCTCCTGGATGACCAGCACTGGCACCAGTTCCGCCTGGACCGCTACCGGCAATACGTCAACTTCAGCCTAGACGGGGAAGTGCTGCGGTTCCGTCTCAATGGGGCGTTTGAGCAGCTTGACCTGGACACTGAGGTTGTGCTGGGGGCTGGGTGAGACGGTACCCCCCACAAGACCAGTAGCTAGCTCCGCCTCTCCCCACCCTGGCCTCCTCTTGGACGGCTGCTCCAAGCTGTGTGGGCCTGTGTGCGTGAGCCCGGGTGGGGCCAGGGAGGGGGGTTGCTTGTCTGCCCTTCCTTCTCCCGTGCCTCCTAATGCTCCCCTGACCCCTCCCCGCCCAGGAGACCTGGACCCCTCTCCTGAGAGGGGGAGGCCTGTGCTGAGCCCCAGGGACACCACCTCCCCCCCCCGGCTCCCAGCTGAAGGGAACCGCCCTCTCTCCCTCTGGCTTCTGTGCAGATCTTCTTTGGAGGGGTGATCAGCCACAAGAAGCAGCGTCTTGCCTACCGGCCCAACTTCCGCGGCTGCATGGAAAACATCGCCTACAACTTGATCTTCATTAGCAACTTGGCACTACGCCGCTGGCCCAACATCCAGTTCGAGGTTAGGGGGAAGGTGGGGTGGGGTGGGGGCAGAGGGCAGTGGTGAGGTCAGGAGGACTGGAATCACGGACACGTTTGGTGTGGTGGTTGAGTGCGCGGATTCTAACCTGGGAGAGCCAGGTTTGATTCCCCCCAGGGCTTTTTTTGTAGAAAAAGCCAAGCAGGAACTCATTAGCATAATAGGCCACACCCAATGGCAGAAACTCATTAGCATATTAGGCCACACCCCCATGTTGCCACACCCACCTTTTGCTTCTTATTCTGTTTACTTTGTTTGTTGTCAAAACCCTGGGCTTTCTTTGTAGCAGGAACGTCTTTGCATGTTAGGCCACACACCCCTAATGTAGCCAATCCTAATGAGTTTCTGCTGTTGGGTGTGGCCAGTTATGCTAATGAGTTCCTGCTGGGCATGGCCAACTCAGGAGCCAGCCGGAGCTCCGTTCCTGTGCGTTCCTGCCCAGAAATAGCCCTGATTCCCCCACTCCTCCACTTGCACCTGCTGGATGACCTTGGGCAAGCCTTAGCTCTGATAAGAGCTGTTCTTAAAAAAGAGCAGTTTCTCTCAAGAGCTCTCTCAGCCCCACCTACCTCACAGAGCATCTGTTGTGGGGAGGGGAAGGGATAGGAGTTTGTAAGCCGCTCTGAGACACCTTCAGGTAGTGAAGGGCGGGGTATAAATCCAATCTCTTCTCTTCTTCTTGGCTTATTTTGCAGAACTTTTCCTCATTCTCCTGTGGGTTGGGGAAAACCAGGCAAGATTCAAGGATCTGGAGATACACACACACACACATGGTTTCCTATACCACCCACCTCTGATGGCCCGCCAGACATTACTCAGCTACTCCCACATTTATAGTCAGAGCCACAACACTAGCTAAAAGCTGGCCTGTCCAAAAAAATGCAGAGACGTGCAACATTTAGTCATAAAGATAGTATAGGCCAATAAAGGCCACATTTGCCTGGCATAGCAGAGTTGTTGAAGCCCCAACTAACCCTGCCTGTTGTGGCTGAAAACCCGCCTGCCTTCTCCTTCCCCTCCCTCTGCCTCTTCCTTCCTTGCAGGGCCATGTGGGCAATTACTGTCATGACAACCTCTTATTCCCCTTCACCTTTGCTGGGGTCAACAACTACCTGGAGGTGCCAGGCTACCCCCGGAGTAACTCCTTGTCCATCAGTTTCGATTTCCGCACGTGGGACTTCGTGGGACTGTTGCTGTACACGCCCTTTGCAGACGGCCTAGGCTGGCTTGAGATGGTGCTGAGTGACGGTCAAGTGAATGTCACCATTGGTCAGCCCAAGTCCGAGACGAAAGCCAAGAAGCTGGAGTTTGCAGCAGGTATGAGGAAAGGAAAAGGTCAAGGTGTAGCCCCAGGCTCCCGTGGGACTCCCACGAGGGGTGTGGTGGAACTGGCCAGAGGTGGGCACTAGTTGACTGGGAGAGGGGTTGGGAATCTGAGTCCCATGTGGGGGGAGAAGCAGGATTCCCGGGGTCTGTGGGGCCACGTGGACCACCTGGCGTCTCCTCTGACTGGCTGTGGCTCTCCAGGGTTTCTAGTGGAGGTCTTTCACATAGTCCTGGCAGGGCTATTTTTGTAGAAAAAGCCCAGCAGGAACTCATTAGCATAATAGGCCACATCCAACAGCAGGAACTCATTAGCATATTAGGCCACACCCCTGACAGCACAGCTCATTCGCATGCTAGGCCACACCCCCATGTTACCAGGAGCGTGGTCATCCAGCCACACCCACCTTTTGCTTCTTATTCTCTTTACCTTGTTTGTGGTCAAAACCCAGGGCCTTTTTGCATGTTAGGCCACACACCCCTAATTGTAGCCAATCCGAATGAGTTTCTGCTGTTGGGTGTGGCCTATTATGCTAATGAGTTCCTGCTGGGCGTGGCCAACTCAGGAGCCAGTCGGAACTCCGTTCCTGTGCGTTCCTGCCCAAAAATAGCCCTGGTCCTGGTTGCGGAAGGTGCCGGGGGCTGATCCTGGGGCCTCCTGCCTGCCATGCAGGTGTTCGACCACTGAGCCGTGAAATATTGAGTCCACTGATGTAGCTGCGCTTCCTGGTGGCACTGGTTTTCCATTCGGAGATGGGGGCAGATGGAGAAGGGTTGTTGTTCCTGTTGCTGCCTTCCTTCCTGGGTCTCTGTTGACTGTCCCGGGGAGCTTCCTTGGGAATGAGACAAAAGCACCCCCTCCCTCGCCAGCCGAGCGCCGAAGAATAGATTCTTTTGAACTATGGTGCTGGAGAAGACTCTTGAGAGTCCCTTGGACTGCAAGAAGATCAAATCAGTCAATCCTAAAAGAAATCAATCCTGACTGTTCCCTAGAAGGCCAGATCATGAAGCTGAAGCTCAAATACTTTGGCCACCCAATGAGAAGGGAGCACTCCCTGGAGGAGAAGACCCTGCTGCTGGGAAAGATTGAAGGTCAAAGAAGGCGGGGACCAGTGTTCCCTCTAAGCTGAGTTAGTGTGAGCTAGCTCACAGTTTCTTAGCCTCCAGCTCACACCTTTTTGTCTCAGCTCAGGAAAGATGGCTCCGGAGCAAACTAATGTATGCAGCAGCCAAAACGCTCGCTCACAACTATAATGCCAGGAGCTCACAAAGTAGAATTTTTGCTCACAAGGCTCCACAGCTTAGAGGGAACATTGACGGGGACGTTAAAGGATGAGATGGTTAGACAGTGTCATAGATGCAACGAACACAAAATTGAGCCAACTTCAGAGGACGGCGGAAGACCGGAAGGCCTGGCGTGATCTGGTCCATGGGGTCGCAAAGAGTCGGACTCGACTGTACGACTGAACAACAACAACAAAACTACAGCCCTGACCTGGATAACCCAGGCTAGCCTTGTCAGATCTTGGAAGCTAAGCAGCATCGGCCCTGGCTGGTATTTGGTTGGGAGGCCTCCAGTTTGGATGGGAGACCTCCAAGGAATACGAGGGTTGTGACACGGAGGCAGGCAATGACAAACTACCTCTGAACATTTCTTGCCTTGGAAACCCCACCGGGTTGCCAGAAGTCAGCTGTGACTTAACAACAAGAAGACCATGTGTTATGTACGCAAGCCGCCACAAGGGGCCCGCAGGAAAGAGAGGAGCTTGGCTCCACAGAACAATAGGGACCTCGGATCCTAGTTCCCCCCCCTTGCCGACCAATAGGCTCATTGGCGGGAAATTCAAACCCTCCAATGGGTGTGGGGGGCGCTGGGCCGGGTGTGTATATAGTTGGCCTTGCAGGGCCGTTGTGTGTTCTTATGTTAAGTACGAATAAACGTGTGCAACTGCATGTTGTCGTCCGAGTCTTCCATGCGGCGAACCCAGTACTTTTCACAATGTACCGTTTGTTAAAAGGCCTTCCTGAACATTTCCATTTTACATGTTCTGCAGAATGATAAAAACATGGGAACCATCTTGGCCACTCACAGGATGGCTCATTTGGAAGTCTTTGCTCTGATTAGTGAAGCTGTCACAGTGAAGCATACTGAGAGAGGTGATTCTGTAGATGAGGGGTCTAGGGTAGGAAGGGTTTTGTAGGTAATAACCAGCACCTCGAATTTTATCTGGAAGCTAACTAGAGCAACTGCAGATTAGGTGTAATAATTGGAATTCACTGCCACAGGAAGTGGTGGCGGCTACAAGCATGGACGGCTTCAAAAGGGAATTAGATAAGCATATGGAGCAGAGGTCCATCAGTGGCTCTTAGCCACAAGGTATAGATAGGGACTCTGGGGCAAGTGATGCTCTGTCATCTCGGTGCTTGGGGGGGGGTCAACAGTGGGAGGGCTTCTGGCCTCACTGGTAGACCTCCTGATGGCACTGGTATTTCTGGCCACTGTGTGATACAGAGTGTTGGACTGGATGGGCCTTTGGCCTGATCCAACATTGGCATCTCTTA